GAGGAATTTAGGCGTCTATGCTCCGTGGATTGCTCAAATTTGAAAATGAGACTATACAACGACCTCCCTTTTCTTGCAACCGTGGGGAATTAGTCTGACCCCATTCAGACAGTGACGCTTCACTTAAGAACCTCTTGTGTAGACCTTTTTAACATGGTTTGTAGAAACCCTCTTCACATGGTGATGTGGCCGAGAGTGGACGGCAAGTGTTGTCAGGCTCGAATGGATGAACTCATTCCCATTCTGCCCTAGGGAACATGCGTAAAGAGTCACCCTACGTCCAAACAGCTTAGGAATTTGGCTCATGTCAGCTGTTTGGATTGTGTACATATCCAGGCTGCGCTCCTGACCATTAAGTCTGAAATAACTTTTTCCTCTAGTTACTGTTTGGTCAAGGTTGAGAACAAAAGCGCTGAAAATAAGTGAGCACTTGGAGTGCATGCAAATTAGAAAAAAAAGTGTGGGCAAAGCACAAATAGATGCATTTCCCACAGACCAGTGGAGGTATTATCCCCATGACAATCCCTTGACGAAACTAACTCAGGGAAGGAAAACCTAGACTTGGTGGAAACTCCTAAATGTAGCGGTTCTCTTTAGGTGAAGGCGATCGACTTTGACTTTGGCAATAATGCAGAAGTGACTTATTCCATTAGCACGCTAACGGATCCCGAGTTCAGCCAGATGTTCTCTGTCGACCCCGTCTCCGGGTGGGTCAGGGTGGCCCAGGAACTGGACTTTGAAAACCACAAACAAGTAAGCAGAAACTCCAATCAATTTCCATCCGCCCATCTTTTTTACCTCTAAAATTAGTGAAAAAAGCAAAACTCCATTACTGAAATCCCCAACGCATTCGTTTTATAAAGTTGGGTGGTCAAGTGAATAATGGAGGGCAAAAAAGAGAGGTTGTCAGCAACATCAACTCGACAACTTCCTGTGCTGTAGACTCAAGTGTGTGTTTAGTGCATTAGGGTGTGATTTAATTAATCACACGACTCGGTAGCAGAGTTGTTAGGGCGGTCTGATATGCCTTCAGTTAATTTTTAAATGCGAACATTAAACCTGTCACCCCTTTTGCTGATGCAAAACAGAGCCTTCAATGTTCCCCTTTGTGTTTATGATAAAAAGGGAAAGACATTCCTCAAACTGAAGGAACATATGCATCTATTCCAAAGGTTTTAATCTTTTTTTTTCGAAGTGTAAAGTCGACTGCAAATCCGCAATCATCCCCTGAACAAGGAATTCGCACTTTTTAGCGTCAATCGGGGTGGTTGCTTAATCACCGAGGCTCAAAAGGGCCGAAAGTGGTTACAACAGGGGATTGGAAGAGCTGTTCTAGTCCTTCCCCTACCCCAAACCAACGCAACTTTCTATGACAGTCAGGCACGACGTGGGAGGGCTCTCCAAAAGATCCTTTTTTACCTGTTATGCTGCATGCGAAATTGACTTCGTCCCAACCCGAGCACCCGTTGGAGAGATGCACCACAGTGTCATGATTTAATGTGACTTGCAGTAGCTATTTAATGCCCTCCTCTACTGCCAATACCACAATGGGAAATGGAGGGGGAAAGGTCAATTACCTTAATTCCCTATGGCGTGGAAACATGGCCTAGCACATTCGGTCTGAAATGCATCGCCCTTTTTGCGCACCATAGGTAACAAGAGGTCGGAAATGAAATAACATTTATGCACGAATTACTTGAGTGAATTTGGGCAAAACACTCTACAGTCGCGAGGTGCATATTTTTCACTCATGAAAATGCAATGGCAGTTGCGGTTTTGTCAGCCTATTTTTAGGGCACAAATCGTGATGCGTCACCGCGGTGGTGGAGTTACTTTTACCGCTCAACACAGGCATAAGAATCAAATGACATTTATCACCCACCATTGTAAACCTATTTAATGGGTGAAATTGTCTCATTTGGCAGTGGCGGTGGCATTTTGGGCGCCACTTGTTTGAGATCGTTTTCGCTGCTTAACGTGTCCTGTTGTTCGCATCACCTAACCAATCGCTATATCCACATGGCTGTGTAGATTTCACTCACTTCCCTTTCAGTGATTACGGCCCGGAATTGTGTGCATTATCTCGTCTAGAAGTAGTCAGTCATTTAGTAGGCACTTTCGAAGAAAGCATTCACAATCTCCGTTCGTATCGTTCAGTTGGCGGGTCGGATGATTTCAAACGCCTCACGAGCCCTTCTGCCACTCTCTGCCCATTTATTTGCCTGACATCGCAGACCTCATGACAAACTTATTATTTTAGAAGTTCTTTACTTCTGCCAGCTAAAGAAGAGGGTGAATCAATGTGGCATATTTGGTGAATATCTTTAAAATCCTATACCAGACAGAGCTGGCATTTACATGTTGGAATTTTTGGTCTGTTTCAAAAAGGGCGATCACTATGTCTTTGCATCGCTCCCTCTCCCTTTTTTTTCATCTGGCAGGTGAATTCGCGACTCCAGTGCCTCCCTGTATGGATTCATCTTTTCTTTATTTCGTCCAAGTTGTTTAAATTTGCCAGACTCCACCAAAGCAATTGAATAAAGGTGGTTCAGTGGATTTACGAAGCGAAATAATTTATTGCGACTGTCGCCCTGCGGTAAAGCAAAATCCTCAAAGCAAATTTTGGATGTAACTTTTACCCACACCCTTCACTTTGTATCCCCAAGTGTGTTGGCTCTATCGTTTAGTTTGGCACCAATGCTTCCTTTGGGAGGCGAATAAGGATGCCTGTGCCTTGGAGAGACAGCATTGCAAAAGTGCAGAGGTGCACGTAAGCACGGTCATTATCGCCCCCTCCTTCCTCTACAGGCTTCGTTATTTATTTGTGCATTGGTAGGGAGCATTCATAAGACATCGAGGAATGACGTAAATTCTAATTGGTTGGGTCAATTCCTGCCGTCTGGATGATAGCCCACTTTTAGGGCCTGGAAATCAGTGTCAGATTGTCTAAGGCTGTGCAACTTTTTTCTTCTGGCTCGACTTAAGCATCTTTCCATTGGTGAGAAGTCATCTCCTGCACAATCTCGGGCATGATGATGCGATTTCCTAATTACGAAGATAATTTATGATGAGTGGTTTCATTTGTATCTTCCTAGATCAAAGACTCGCCTCTTGCACAGATCTGATTAGTGTCAATTAATCGGTGTGAACACGGATTAAGTTTGGAAGAGCTGAAAAGGGCGGAAAAGGGAGTGTAGGAGGGAGGAGGATACACTCACACTCCAAACAGCTTTCGCCCATGTGACGGGAACTATCTCAACCCATTTGGTGAGGGCACGCCTACGCCATTAACGCAATGGACACTGCGTTGGCTATAATGCACACTGCGTTCAAGTCTGCCTAAGTCCTCGCCCCTATCACCAATTCTAATAGACTTGGTTTAAGGACAACTTTGTCGTGGGTCACGATACCCTGCTTGACCTCACTACACTGCGGCGGCGCCCACTACACCACCTCTCACAATTGATGAAATAAGGGAGGGGAAGGGGGGATAGAGTGTTTGCATATTTAGTCTCGTGTTCATGCTTTTCCAGGGTTTGTGTATACACAACATCAATCATCCCCTCCTTAAAGCATGCTCCTTTATTTAGATCTGGAAATTTATTGCGGTAATACATCAGACATGTTTACTAATGACAACAAAGAAGTTTATGAATTTTTTTGAAAGAATACGAATAATGAATGGAATAATCTTTTCTGCTCCAGATTAGTTTGACGCTTACAGCTTCGGACAGAGGAGAGCCTCCACGGCAGTCAAATTGTTTGGTGGAGATCACACTCACAGATGTCAATGACAACGCTCCGAAGCTTCTATTCGAACCAGGCAGCTTAACAAATTTCGCCTTAGTGCCGGAAAATGAAATTGCTGGTCGCATTGTCGCCGTGTTCACCGCCAGTGATGAGGACAGCGGAGCCAACGGAGAGGTGGTGTGCTCGATTAAGTCCGTGAGCAAAATCGAAGTTGATGCAACAATGGAGGAAGAGGAGTACAACAATGGGAAGGAGGAAGAGGGGGATAATGAGGGAATGGAAGGAAATAACTTCTTCAAACTTGAGCTTATGGCGTTGCCGTTTGCAAAAGTGTAAGACATCTCGTTGGACGAATTTCTTTCATCGTGGAATGTGGCACTCATAGCCAGTTTTTAGAACCATAGAAATGCTTACAACAAAATTATTGAAAGCTGGTGTCATTAATCCAACAAAAAGGACTTTAGTTTCCGTATTTCTCTCATTGCTCTTGCGTGGAACTCATTCGTTGAGCAGCCTTGAAAGCAACCCTCTTTCCATTTGTTCTGCTTAGTTGGAGTTAGATCGGCTAAACCTAAGTTTCGAACTATTTTTTTATGATTTTCAACCGACCACTAAAATTTAAACTCATGCCTGATGTCTCATCAGAGCAAGCTGGTGTGGCAGAGGACAGAAGTGCTGTGGACACAACTGAAAGGCCGTACGCCGAAGTAGAGGTGGGCACTAAAAGGGTTGGAAGAACAGCGGATAAGCACAAAAAGGCAAACATTTTGGTCGCTTTTTAAGGGTTGGGATAGAGTGACTCGTCATTAGATTTTCTCTTCATCTAAGAGTGTGGAAAGTAAAGCCCTTTTCCTCAAAATATTTTATTTTGGCACTGTCGCCGGCATGCAAATGCAGGCATAATGGTTTTGCCACAGCAGACACGTAAACACTTATGCCTCAGCGACGCCACACTCCGTTGCAACGCACTCACCGATTTATATCAGTGAGTGCACACATTCACTGCCTCGGTACGGCGCCAAACCCTCTTTCACGAGGTGAGAAAAGAAGTGAGATTTTATTGGCGTCGTTGATGGATTTTTTACATATCATCAGTGGCTTATCTTTTGCTCTCCCTCTCCCTCCCTGAGCGCTGTCACGCTGGGACATAGTGGAGGCGCATTCCAGTCACTCCTGTCAGGTACAAGCGCAGAGTGAATAGAGTTCCCTTTTTTCCACATCAAAAGGTGGTCGGAGCCCTCAACAAACCCTTGGCGTTCCAAGACTTTTTCAGTCCTCAATGTAAAGTTTCCCATGCTCGGCCAAAAAAAGGGCAGTCTTGAATCTTTCGGACCTTTCTGACGATATTGCCAGTTAAGAATTGTAGTGTGTCCTTGGCTAGTGCCCTCCCAAAGCAGAGGAGGAAGTATGGAGTCTAAAATTGTCCACCACTCTGCGCTTATGAGCTCAGAGACTAACTTGACTAAGTACGTATGGGGGTGTGTTTCGTTTATTCCTTCACCTAAGGGGAAGTGGAAGGAAAATGGTCGAAGAGTTCCTTCGGAAAGTGCTCCATCAAAAACTCAGCTTTTGTTAATATCACCACTGAACAGTAAAACAAAGCGTTTAAAGTGGTTAACGCCCAGTTTATACTTGTAGAAAGTGATTTGCTTTTGTGCCAAGCTTTTAATCACCTTTGATGGTTTACAACCGGTAAAGTGGTGGCGTAAGGGGCTAGCACTCTCACCTCTTATTCCTTCCATCCGTAGGAGAGAGACCTCCTAGGGGCCCACAATGTATTGAGCCGAGATGGCTTTTGAGTTTTACTGTACTTACAAAATGCCTTTACTAAGGTTCAAGCTCGTTGATGCGTGGTTTACCACTGCAGTAGATGTCTCTTGCTCTCTCTCTCTCTAAAAAAGGATTCCTGGAATGGCGGCTCCACGTCAAAGTCGGAGACTTGTATGTGCACATTGAAGCCCAGGGGCCATGCCATGGGGCTGACTCAACCTCTTCTTTCAGTAAGCCTTGGCTTGCTCCTCTTTCAATCTGCGAAGTCCGGCTGGCATTGGTAAAACTTTTATCCGTTTCTACTTTGGATCGCATGGTTTTATCCAATGCAACCACGTTCTCTTGGGAAGGCGATATCGGTTGGGATGATAATATGGAGGCACTGAAGAGGCAAAAACTTTAACCGAATGCAAACATACTAGCTAAATTCCTTAATGCTTGCCTCAAAGGCATGGTGTTTCGGTAGGACCATCGGCTTGAAGATACTTGTGATGCAAATAAAGACAGCCAATTCCGTCCAGATTTAAATAGACAGTTGCATAAGTTGCCACCTTTGTATACTACTATTTACAAGTCCGCAAAATCGGGATGAAATTAGCTTTCATGAGGTGGCTCACTGAATATCCCAGAGGTTAAAATTAGTCCTTAGGTGTCTTGACTACTACCCCAATTGTTTGGTCTCCGCTAATTGCAGTTACCAGTTGTCAACGGCGGCGGTATTTGACCGAGAGGCGGGCGGGCGATACCGTGTCTGCATCATGTGCTCAGATAAGGGCTCAAGGCGCCAAAACACCACAGGGAGTGTGATTGTGCGCATCCAGGATGCGAATGACCACTCGCCCGAATTTCCGACCAGTCACTTCAATTTTCGGGCTCCAGAAAATCACCGCATTGGCAGTCCTCTCTTCACCTTAACTGCGGAGGATCCCGACGAAGGTAAGAATCTGAGCATTTTGTAAGGTTTCTTCTCTAAATTATTGGAGCATAAAAATGAAGCTGAAGTAGGAGGGCACAAAGCTGGTCTTTTCGAGGATACGATGATAGTCCATAGTCAGTACTGGTGATTGTGACATTTTGGAGTGAAGACGATCCGAACGTCAAACACTTGGCATCATTGCTAAACATTCGAATCGTAGTTTTGTTAGAGCAACGGTCACTTACACAAACTCGCTGGAAGTGAATAAACGCCTCAGATCACCTTCACCGTTTCATCCTTTGGGACTGTATTATTCCTTGCTCCAAGAATATCATAACATGATATCTTAACTAATTCAAGTGGCGGTTGGATAGAGGTACTAACCCGGAAGTAACACTTAAGAGGCAAAAGATTGGGAAAATTCAAATCTGGTGTCGCTTGACGAAGATTCGAGGGAGAAGTAGAACGAGACAGGCGTAAACCACATTATAAGCAATTTGAATTCCCTGAATTATAATTGTGGCAGGACTATGAATGAGCATTGCGTGAAAGTCGTGCTATCCAATGAAAGTGTCAAAATGGAGCTTTTATGGTCCCATGAAACAATGTAGAGTGGTTAAACAAGCGTAGCATGGCGTAGTCTTTGAGCGTCTCTTCGGCGCTCCCCTTGGGCACGGTTGGTGCTCTGACAAAAAAGTATCCACGATCTGACTGTGCTGGTCATCAAATGTTCAACCAACTGTGATGGCACCTGATTGCGGCGCCACTGATCGTCTTGGCATTTTCCTTCAATCTGGAGTTTGTTCTTGTTTTGAACTGCGTTAGGGGAAAAGAAAAATGGTGGATATCACCGATGCACACTGCTATTTACTAGACTGATTGACGGGACGAGACGCAAAATGTTTTCTACGGAGTACGTTTTCCTCCTCATTCCTATTCGTCACGTTATTTTCACTAAATTGTTTTTACCTGGGTTTCATGCAGCTAGTGGAGAAGTCGAAGCAGTTAATTGACATCTTTGCATCTAATTTTTTGGTGGATGCTTTACAGGCGTGGCAAGTGCCATTTTGGATGTTTATGGGTATCTTGCAGAAGATTGGACTGCGGTGGTTCCCGAAGGAAGGAATCGTTTTTAGTCCTCCTGTTAAGAATCGTCACTTATTTTCCCATCTTCAGCATGTCCCTTTTCCATCATCTTAGTAATTGGCATTGGGAGACAGAAAGGAGGGTGGTTTTCGTTAGAACTGAGTGTTCTAGCTACCGTCAGCACTGAGTAATCCCCTAATACGAAGGAAGACATAATGATGGGACATGATAGTGTATTGTCGGCGAGCAGAGGGGTTGGATATAACCAACACAGTCCGAAGGTATGCCACCTAGCGGAAGAATTATTGTTGAGCCTTACGAATAAATTGTTAAATAAGCTAGTGAGGTATTACAGGTGAGGAGACTCCTTTCCGGTAATACGGAAAGGTAAAAGGGTACCTAAACCGTTAGCTCTGTGGGGTCTCTGTCGCCCAGTCCGACGGACCTCAAAGCCTCTAACATAAATGGTGTTGATCATTTAATTCTGGGGATGGGGGGCGGGGGGATGGAACACACTTTAACACAGCTACATTTTGCCTTGCTTTATTTTAAGGCTGCATCAACTCGATCTTCCAGTGGACATTAAACGCTTTGTTAAAAGTTCATGTGTGTTTGTTTTGTTAGAGCGCTCCATGCAAGATGATGCATAACGCAGTCCAATAAGGCACGCACAGTTGGACTGGCTGAACGTTTGTAAGTAGAGTTGTGTACTCGTAAAAGTCCAAACAACTGCCTATTTATTCACGTGCACGCCTAGATAACCTGCGGCGAAGTGGCGGCAACATTCCGCTGAGGACCGACCAGATGCTGCTACCCCTAGCAATATTTACTTTAAGACTAGGACCAAAGGAGATTGTTCGAAAGCACCTAGGCCTAGGGGCTGCGGGCTAACGAGTTCAAGGGAATTTGAGGGTGACTTAATGCTTCTGTGTGAGTTATTAAACGTTGGAGAGGAATTCGAGAGCCACTATATTCTACTTCAATGTCAGATCTCCACAAGCTTCCCCCATCAAATGCAGTGAAGTTAGCTCTGCTGTTTTTGCAGGTGAGAACGCCACTGTGTTCTACTACCTCATCTCTTCAGAGGATGTATTTGCTCTAAACAATCGAACTGGAGAGGTGAGTCTGCGTCAGCCGTTGGACTACGAGAAGAAAACTCAGCACAATTTCACATTACTCGCTGTGGATGGAGGTCAACCACCATTAACAGGCTCCGTTACTGTCACTCTATTCGTTGAAGATGCCAATGACAACGCCCCAGTTGTGACCTCTGATCTCATCCTCTCTGCTTGGGAAAATCATTCAGCTAGTGAGTGCTGCTGCTAGAATGCTATCGCGTTAACGGTGACTGGAGTGTTCATTCAATCGGTACAGGCAATACCTTTGAAAAGCTTTGAGGTGCCATTTTGGAAAGTAGGAAAGGAAATGGGAAATGTCCTTCTCGATAAGTTGACACTGTGAATTGTGACGACATGCCAAAGTGGGCAGACAGAGTGGGGATAGTGGACAACAGTTAAATTGCAACATGACTTTTATGTTTCGGTACAGTCATTCATGGAGGCAGTGATTGCCGTTCAAAATAAGCATGAAAAATTATGCATAATTAATCGGATCGAAAGGGAGAGGATCAGTCATGCGTGACTTGAAGGAATGCACGTCCTCTGCCCCATCCCCTTCTTCCCTCCTCACTCCAAAATGACCACTTTTAAGACACAACAGGCGAGAATAAGGAAGTAACCTTCCTCTAACGAGCTCCTCTGGGGTTGGGCAAAAGGGGCAGCGGATGTGATGCATTGATAAGCCAATGGAGTGACGTTTCAAACGCTTTTTTAACATAAAGGGCGTAAATTTTAATTAGGTGATGAGGGGACAACGTCACAAATGTGTGGCATAGGACTTGAGTAAACCCATACGTCCCTTGCAGATGTGTGATGTTGGTATTGCATTAAAGAATTGGTATTTCACTGTATGTGCATGAGTCCTTAAGATAAGTGCTGCCAACGTTCTCGTTCTTACATCGAAGTCTGTTCCTTTCAGCGGACCCCATTGGTGCCATATCAGCAATGGATCTTGACACAGGATTAAACGGAAATTTCTACTTTAAAATTGCTTCCATTAAGCCTTGCTTCTGTGGTGTGGCACCGATGGAAGAGAAGATGACCAATTTCAACGACTCTCTCTGCTCGTGGGCTCTGGAAATGGTGAATAAGTGTGACGTAAATTTGGTAGACAAAACCCATCGACTGTGCAGTCGAGCGCCTCTCAAATTTGCCCCCTCTTGGACCTCCAAGGAGTATCGCAGGTAGCAAATCAGTATCCTTGACGTAATTGGATGGATTTTAATTCATGTACGGTTGCATTTTCTATCTGAGGAGGAGGAAGATAATAACAAGTTGTGATGCCAGGACCCACGAGCTAGAACAAAACACGGCCTCTCGAAGGCACGTAACAAACAAGTAGGCTTTAATGCCAACGATGCTCAAATTTAGAGCTTAGTAACTATTGTTAGCCTAATTTATTTAAAGCGCATTCCTGATTGGCAAGCAAATTAAAGGGAGGCTAGAGAGCCACCCCCACCTCCACTCCTCCCCAATCCAGCCTTTATTGTCGGCCCACTTTTATATTAATCTTGCCTGAGATGGCGATACTATACTTGCTTTAAGTGCCACTAATAAGGGAAGGAAATCGTACTCTCAGCTTGTACAGCATTCCCAAACTTTTCAGCCTCTCGTGGTGGTTAATTTGCTTGAAAAGGTTGTGCGATCTCCAAGGAATCGGCGGTAGGGGATTTGTCTGCATCGAGGGCAATCAGATTACGTGCATTGAAATGCCAGGCTGCAAATGACTGTGGTCGCGTTCGGGTAACAAACTTCCGCCCATTTGTAATTGCACGTCACTGACCGCACCTTTAGTCAGCAACTTCGATGAGAGAGGCAACAAGAGACACTAATTTTAGTGTGCTGGGCGCATGGAATTCACTAGGCCTAATTTTACTTTTGCTTTCTACACTCTCATTATCCAACGTGGACAGCCTAAAATTGCTATTGTGGGGGAAGAATGTGGTTGGGAATAAAAACACGACAGCCATGCGTATCAGTTTAATAATCTATCTTGCTTGGTTTGTGTGTTAACTCCCTAATCAGCCGTGCATATCCTCATGGCACGACTTTATTTCGGTGGCACAACATGCGAACCAATGTTATCACTGCAAAACTATCTGTGTTTTGGACCCTCAGACAGGCACTGTCCTGCCTGCCAGAAGATGCTGAGTTAACTACGTCCCATTTGCAGAGGTCGTTCTGTTAGCCATCAAAGAGGCCAATAGATTATTCACCATGCAATGACAATGCGAAAAGTGAGTTTCCTTTGGTGGGTTTTTCAACCTCCTCCTGCTTGTGTCCATTGTTACCTTATGCAACTTTAATTCGACTACGATTGAGCTGTTAGTGATTGTGCGTTAAGGGAATAAAAGAATTTCCTCTCATACCTGCTCAGTGAAGCTTCTTCTCCTCCAGTAAAGTGGTGACCAATGGACTTGCGTATTATCAACGCTTCTTGCTCGATTTTGAGCAGACTGAACTAACAAAGACGAGTCCTTGGCTCTGACGCTTCGAGCAGCCATTAATACCGAGAAGTCGAACCTGCGACCTTGGATTTGTGTGCTCACAAGTCTTCTACGCACTGGGTGGGATATTCGCAGCCATGGGTGCAATTGAGCCCTCGTCCGAATGGACCGAATTGTTAAACACTCTTAATTTGATCCACTAGACTGAAATTCAACTCGCTCTGTCACCCTACTTTCTTCACAAAGAATGCGAACCAATTGTGCTTTTACTAGCAGGTGTATCCATTTTATTGTAAGTGCAGCCTATCTACGGTTTCCTTGTAAACCCACCTCGCCATTTTAGGTTCCTCATGACGGAGCGGGGGGACATTTACCTTCGGTATTCCAACCTAGACAGGGAGACCGTTCCCGTCTACTTGATTCAGGGCTCGGTAACCGACCGTGGGCATCCACCCCAAAGCACCACTTTCTGTGCAACTGTAGTGGTCAAAGATGTCAATGACTGCCATCCCAAATTCACCTTCCCGGCTCTCACTAATAACACTGTTCTTGTGCGACTGTAAGTAGTAAAGATGATCTACTTTTGCAATTTCTAACCAACAAAATAGGCTGCACAGTACAATCAGGTGCATTCTGAAATTTTGGGCATCTTAGTCAACATCAAGTGTTTTCCTTGTGCTGAGATTGGATAATTAATCTTTGTAATAAACTAATTATTTATCCGGCTGGAGGGCAGCCGAGATCAAAGATCCCGATTCGGCCCTTCTGCCTTTTATGGCGCGTGATTTGGACGGCTCCGTGGGCGATAAAGCATTGTATACAATCCGAATGAAATTTCGCGGGCCCTTTCTCCCCACTCATCGCCAATTTGCATCACTTATAGTTTGTAAAACGGCAAGACTGACTTTCAATTTTTATTCCACGTTTTTGTGACTTACGAAATGGCTGAGTAGTAGTCAGAAGATTTTGAGGGCCCAGAAACTGGATGCCAAGCTTAACACTTCTACGATGAGCTGGAATTTGCACCACTCTCTAAAGCAAAGCCTTCATGGGGAGACCATAAAGGCATAGGAGTGATTTTTTTGTGGAGCTTTTCCAATTCCGACTAATTTGCATAGAAATACGATAACAATTTTCTCATGTTTTTCTCAACCTTGACAGTTAATGGGACAATCCTAGAAGGGCGTAGCTAAGGTGGATAAGTGGGGATATTCTGTGGTGTCCAACGCAATGGTAATAGTTGGCCGTGACAGCGGGAGAAAGAGGGAGGAGAGGGAGAAAAGACAACAACTTCACGAAAGTTTATCATGACTAAATAGCGCACATTTACCACAAAAAAATGACACATGAAAGAGGTTGGAAGGTTGGCCACATCAACAATTTGTGTCCCAAGATTGCCTTGAAATGTTAATTAGACGGTTGTGGAACTCAAGGGTAAACAGTTGCTTCAAAGGACATCCTCACCAATTTTAGCTATGGCTTTGTTTCCTCGTGTGCCTTATGGTGGTTACTTTTCGTTTCCCTCCCAGGCCAATACTGCGGGGCGAACCGCTCGTGCAGTTGCACGCTACGGACAACGACGCCAACGAAAATGGTGAAGTTCGTTTCGGGTTTGCTGAGGAGTCGGAGAGCTCTGTGGCCAGTCTATTTGACATTCATCCCTACACAGGTCTCATGGTCTCCAAGTACAATCTACAACTCAGAGATTTGGAGTTCGTTGGCTCTCCAGCCTCTATTTTGAAGCAGACTCATGTGGTGCGAATAAAGGTAACACTTTCTTCGACAACGCATCAAAAGTGTGTTAACCCAGTTCTTGCATTTCAAGCAACGGAGGCACATAGATTTCCTTTGAATGCCGAAACAAAAATGCCTTACTCTTTTTTTCAGGAGGTGTTGCTGTCACTTTTTCCAACAATTCGCAGGTCTGAATTCCCGTATTCTGTTAGTCTGAAGCAGTTACTTGATCTTTGTTTATGGCACGGGTTGCTCAGCAAAGGGAATTCGTAATGTCGTAGATGCTGCAGTTCACCAGCTCCGCAAGACAGTCAATTTGTCCTATCGTGATTAAGTTGTAGAACTAGAAAATTACAAAAAAAAAAAACAAGTCCTTTCCTTGTCTAATACTCCTGTGTCAATGTGTCATTAACCTGTTTTCCAAATGCCTGAAGTGAGGTACATTCCCAGTGCCAACAAGGACATAAACACCACCGCTCTCTCGCTCTCTCCGATGCTATCTTTTGTTGCACACATTGGCTAATTTAATCCTGTAGTCCAATGCGTGTCAGGTGCCCCACTCCATCCTCTCCAGTTGAGCCGCCCCAAGCATATTATTTGAGGGCGCACAATAGCGAACTAATTTTTCAACATCATCGTTGCGTAGATGAGGCGTGATAAGCCGGGCCCGTATAACGTTTTCATCTCTCGCTCTCTCTCTCTCTCTCGTTCTCCCTGTGTTTGGCTGTGTGGGTGTGGGCATGCGTGCTCCGACATCAAAGCAGTCTTCGGCCACCTCAGCTCAGTCTTGCCTCGTCTCCTGCGCAGTAGACATGGTTTTCGCTTCGCCTTTTTTAATGCGCTTTAATGTATACACCTGGAAAATTTTCGTCCTATCTACCCACCTTAAAGGCTCCTCTGCACGCAAACTTTCAAGTTGCCCTCTATTTGGCCCGAATTGAAGGCCTTTTTTAAGTCATTTAGGTAGAGCAGGTTGTTCTGTTAAACTTCACAAGACGTAGGGAACAGAGAAGGCTTTATTTGAACTCAGCAGCGCTTACTGTCTTATTAAAAATATTAAGCTTAGCTTTAAGTGGATAAAGTGGAAGCCAGGGAGGATAGGGAAACATTCACATAGACGATGAACAGAGGCGGAGTGCAGTGAGAAGAGAAGCCAACTCTCATGTCTGATATTTATGGCGCTCTTTAAGCTGTTAATGAAATGCATCAAGGAGAATAAACCGACAATGGCCAATTTAGTCGTTTTTCCTTAAATGCTTTGACTAGGTAGTCGATCAGGGAACGCCTTCGCTTATCTCCTACGCCAACTTGCGAGTGCGTTTCCAAATGCGGTCAAACTCAGAAGTGAAAGCTGATTTTCCGTCTCTCAAAGAGCAGCTGATTCTGCAACGACGGCAGCAGCATCACCAGACTGCAGATCCTTATGAGGAATACAGAGGACTTCAGGCGGAAACGACGCGGTCCTTCGATCGCACCACATGGCGGAGCAGCGTCGTTTTCATAATCCTCTGTGCATTCTTTCTCGTTCTCCTTCTCTTTCTAGCGGTCCTCCTCCTCGCTATTTTCATCCGACGCTCCCTCCATCCCCTGTCTCCCTACATCTCCACTACCACCTCCTCTTCGGTCACAGCCACTACGGCCTCTCGGCGTGCTCCATTGGCTCTCTTCATCTCCCCCATGCATCACCATCAGAACCCTAACTACCAGCTCAGTGGCAGCTCCCTCACACTTCCCCTACCCGTTACTCCTTGTCACACACTGCCTCATAACCTCCCACAGACTTCTGGACTCTGTGGTTCGGGTGACCTGTCCATTGATTCTAGTGCTGTTTGAGGACCTCTTGAAATGGATATTTTTGTATATTTTGCACTCGTCCCTGAGTAGTGACGTGATAGCATAGGCGAAAAGTTTAACTAGCAAAGCCATCTCCGTGTATTCTCTGTTGCTTCTTATCTTTCCTCTAAAACTGATGGCCCTGATTCATTAAGATTATGGGGAAACAAATAGAAATGGATTTTGGTTTACTGCTTAGGAAACAGATTGTTCCCATTGTAAGCTCCCTCATGAGAATATTGTGACAAGTTTGAATGAAACTACCGAGGACCACCTCTAGGCCTCTGATGAGATTACATGAAACCGCATCTCAAGCTTTGACTAGTACTTCCTCAATTACGATAAAGGATGGCTAGTGAGTAGATACAATCGTGAACGGGAGTGAAGGCTCCATTGACTGTATTTCTTTCAACTTTTGGTATACGGTGGAGAAAGGCTTACAACGGTAAAGCTTCAATGAGACATGGCTCTGATGAAGTCAGTGAAAAATTCTTTGAGGAATTGGTAGAATAGCTTTAAAAACCATGTACCCAGAGATGTTGTCTTAGAAGCTAGTGAACTAAGGTGGTGTGCTTTGATGTAATGTGCAGCTTCCCAAAAGGCATGTGGTAACTTTAAAGTTGCCCAGTAATCTAATAAATGAACTACCTCCCGTCGTTCCGTGCAACCGTTTGGGAATTACTTGCAAGCCTGAAAATCGCATAAAATTCAGAAGTATCGCGAGTTCCAGGACCAAAAAACGTAGGCTCATTCTAAACCTTAATGATTGCGTAGTGTGAACACGTCAAGTCATTCTTTTGCAAATACCAATAGGGAAGATATTTATTTTGCGCATCCTTAGTCAAACAAGTTACCACCTGTATGTTGCATTAATAATGCCCTGTGTGCCTTTCAACATGGATACCTCGGAGTCAGCAAAGCGAAGCCACCCATATATGTCCACATCTTTAGGAAAAAAGCAAACTGAATATAAAATGATAGAAGGATTTTGCATTAAGTATTAGCTCGATCGCAGACTTAAAACCGTCTACGATACACCATAGGACATCGGTTAGAAGGGAGACTCAGATAATGATTAACAACCTAAAAACAGTGCCTCACGATGGTGAAAATTGGGCAAACCGAGAGTTCACAGAAACGCCAGAGTACTCACGAAGGTAGGGAAGTCGCCCTCCCCGTCTCCGAATTGCATACGGCAGTAGTGACGGCTTTCGCACAGTCACGCCCACACCTCCAGGTGTCCAGGCTCTTAAACAAATTCCATAATCTTCCTCAGTCTCCTCTCTCGGATTGTCGCAAGGTTTCTTCGTAGCTCCTTTAACGCCCGAAACTGATACCCAACCTGAACACGTTTTTGAAACACTACTTATTGTTAATAAGTAGGGATAATGGTGCCAATAGTCAAGTAACCAAGGTAGTGAAATTGACTTCTATTTACCTGCACCAGAGAGAACAACGTCGGCCACAGACTGCTCAAGGTCAACTGGATGTATGCTTTCGAGAGCAACAGGGGTCATAGAAGGCATGGAGTACTCCTCAGAGGTACCACCAGGTCCGAGAAACATGGCGTATTCGTCACAATAGGCATTCACATCACTTGTTTCCACAATGTGTACGGGGAGACGTGTCTGAGTTGTTAAGTAGACTGGACCTTTTGACTAAAGAAGTTTAACCACACTTAATACAATCATACCTCATAATCTTTCAGAAAGCACTTACTTAAGGGTTAAGAAGACTAAGGAAGGTCTGTCAAAAAAGGACCCGAACTGTTTAGATATGTATCGAGTTTCAATAGCTAAAAGCATTTCATATAGGCATTCAAAGACGGCAACTTACAGCAATAACATCCAACCTGCCAAGCCGTCCAAGAAGCATAGTGAGACCTGATCGAAGAACGAATGTCCTCGGAAGTAGAAATCGGCTTTCAGGTCGGTGAAAGTCACCTTTTCTGCCATTGATTAGGGACATGTATTCCACAAGTTGATCACTTGACAGGAAATTAAGGCTCTGAGCCAAGTTAAAACAGACATTAGTGCAAAGTTTGGAAAATTTACTTAGAAATTCGGATGAGTCGTTTTTGAGATATAAACCATGAAACAACTGTGGGAAAACATGAACCAAGTTCGAGAAAAGCTAAGAATACCCCAAGTTACGCCGCACTACTGAAGAAAATTTAGGCAATGTCAATAAAAACATTGATTAAAGCGGACATTAAATAGTGGAAGCATTTAGTGCCCACTTGTTCGCAGCTTTCCAATCCAGGTGTATCATAGCACCATGCTTCTGGATTGAAGCATCTGGGATCGATGGTTCCACTGATTAGAAGACGACTACCAGTGTCCTGATTCGCCTCAAGCGTGGCGTCGACACCCAGCTCCTCCTGGAAGAGACTCCGAAGTCCCATATCGGACTCCTCAATGACGCCAGCTCTCTGGGAGTCACGTCTATAGCGATAAGTGGGTTTAGATGAGAGATCTTGCAAAACATTCCTCACTCGCTCCGCCTGCGCGTCGATGTTGGAAGAGGTCAGAGGACCAGCGACTTTGTCATCTGAGAATGATGTCAAGTAAATCTATTATTAGCCAACAGTCAGGTCAAGTACTTCCGATAATATGCACAGAATTTGATGGCATGGCAGGCATGGCTAGCGTAACAACGATAACAAAAATTCCAGTCTCCCACACTTAGACGAAGATGAAGAGAACACAGATAACTCCCCAATTCACAGACAGGTAGAAGAAAACAAAGAGCACTTGTACCTTCTACTATAATGTATCCATAAAGTTCTCTGGTTTTCGACCCCGCAGACCTCGTGATACTGTGCTCTTCCGTATATTTTGCTTGATCTCGAAGCGCGCGTTTCACATAGGACATTCGGGCAAGGGGAAACTTTAACAATCCAGCCGTAGTACCTGCAGGACAAATGACATATTTTTCGAGATTGATGATCGAATTATCACCTGACAGCGTTTTAATGTTGAGTTGCCAATTATCTGCGAATTCACATGATTTATAACTGTTTCAGCAACGCAAAAAGCCCAGTTTTTGACTCTTTAAAATGGATTTTGTCTAAGGTAATCTGGGAGAAAAAGTTAATTTCACTTCGAACACAAATACCTGGCCAAAGAGAGACCGTAGCACGGTGTATCGACTCCCGCGCATCTGATTTGCAGAAATCCGAGAGGAGTAAGCGATTGAAAAGGCTTGACTTGCCAGTGCTCGTGCAACCAACAATATACACAGGGCTTTCTTTCATCTAATTAGTAGAAACTGACACCTACCAAAAACATTAAGCCTTTTGGAGAGCAGAAAATCTAGCAATTTCTCCATCCCATATCCCTTGAGTGCGCTAATGAGGGCAATGTGGAACACATTATCTTTTCGCAGGCCGGATATTCCTGTAAATGAGTTTAAAAGGATCTCAGACCAACGGGAGTGGAATTTGGGACCATCGATCGGCAATTGGTCCACTTTATTGCCGATTAAAACAATTTTATGACCAGAAGGGTTAGCAAGGCGCAGAGGGACAATGGAATGAGGGAGGTTTGTCATGTCAGCGACCAAGAGAATAGTTGAATTCGCATGATTGTTCAACTCGGTGATTACTTGCTCTTCGTACTGCTCTGAAGGCACTGACTCTTTAAGCGCCGTCTCGTACTGATCCACTAGTTGACAACGTAAGCACACAACAGGTAGCTGGGCGGCACGGTTACGACCGCGTCGAAGATGGCTGGAGCTCTTCAACTTAAGTATCTCAGGTTCTGGAAGGAAACCGTGAGTTCCAGGAGTCCCACAGTGGAGTTTTGCGCCACAACCAGCGCAGGAAATGTTAAGGACAATACAATTGGTGTTTACGGACAAATTGTAGATACGATTTAGGGTTTCTCGATCAAGCAATTGTCTCTTGGGTGTCTTGAGTGGACCATGAGGTTCGAAAAAAAGGGGAGACGACACAACAGAGTGGGCAGACGTCAAAGAAATGGCGTCAGCCTGTGACTGGAAGACGATAGGGGAGTCTTGCCTCCGGAGGCTGTCGCGCTTGAGACGTCTCTCCTGTTTCTGAAGCGCTTTAATAAAGCGCTGTTCGCGAGTGTAGGGACGAAGTGATAACCATGCCTGAACTTGACGGGTGGCCACGACCCGGCAGGATAATATGTCCAGTTTGATCATGGATCAGCACCAATGAAGAACTAAAATTAGGCGGCACTCATGCGCGTAACATTTCAAAATAGCTACGTCGCTTGATAACGCCTTATTGAATAAAAAAATCACACACTGGAATCCAAAACAAGTGGAAATTCATAAATTGATTGGTGGCAGATAAATCATAAGGATCATATTCCGAAATGCCAAAAGAGCTACAAAGGAAAACATTGCAAGAACCTGAAATTAGTACCTGAATGGTACCGTACTCTAGCAAAAATAATAATATGACAGAAAACCCCTGTAAGGAGAAAAATAAGCAGTGCGCTATTTATACACTGAGAGTCACGCAACTCAAAGACTAAAGGAACAGATTCCGAGGCAAGACTGCGAACATAGGCAAAGTTGGAAAAGTAGTGCGAATTGGCGCCCAAAGGCAAATAAGCACAACGCATTAGTGATAGCATATCCTAGTGAATGTGAGAAAATGTATGAAATGCACATCCGCCAATTACGATTCAACCAATTGTGGATGCTAACAAAAAAATTTGACTTGCTATCTGTCAAAGTAAAGGTGGTTACAAAAGCGCCACAGAAAGCAAACACCCATAAAATCAGACACGCAACCACGATGCATATGATAAAACACGCTATATTCAATGACGCACGCTACAATTGCAGCGTGTGAAACAAAATACATAGTTAGGATTCGTAATGGATGCAGATGATTAACTGATTTACTTTTGTTACAACAACTTTTCGTTGCTTAAATCAACATGGGCTTGTGTTTTGATGAAAAAGGGTTAATTTAAACGATAGTTAGTATAAAAGTAGCCACTTAAGGCCAAAATTACTTGCTCTTGTACAATACAGTCTGTTTTATATTCTATGCGTGTGTGTTAAATCATCCTGAAAGACTAAACATATCAAAGTAACTACACTTGACTAAGCCTGTTACGTAAATCTGCTTCAGTGGTTGTGCAGCCTGAGGCAGTCAGACTACTCACCTATGTTTACACCGATTTAAACAAAATAAAATGCACTATGGTCTTTTGCGTTAGACCTTCCTGTTCAAAAAGTGCATCGTAGCCTTGGATACTTGCCTAAGCTGTATCTGCAACTCCTCGAGGCTTCCCATAGGTTGGAGGAAGGCAGTAAAAGAGACTGGATACATGTATTCCAAAGTAAATATGGAGTGGCATGACCTGAAGGCCAGCTTACGAGTACAAGGGTCAGACCAACCTTAAAATGACTGCTTACCGTCAGGTGTAAATTTAAACGGAACACCTTGCTCAGGTAGTCTGTGGAAGACATGCGTTCCATCAGCGTTTGAACATTCCCTCCCATACACTTTTTCCCTGCCTGTAGCGTTCTGAGACTTCTAATATGGTGGATGAGGGCATAATTGAGGTTAGTTACATGTATTCTGAAACGACAGGGCAAATGGGGCCTGAGCGTAGTCCGAAGGCCAGCCCACGTGTACAAGAGCAAGACAAATTCTACAGTGATCGCCAATCTTCAGATAGTCACAAAACAAAGTATTACAATACCGAATCAACCTGTGGTACTTTGTTCATGTGAGCACTTCGTGCATGGCAGATACTTATAAGATCCGCCTGGCTCTTATGCACATGGGCTGACCTTTAGGTCAAGCTTAGGTTTAATCTCTTTGTTTCACCTGAAATACACGTATTTATCTCCACTTACTAACTTCTTCTGCCCGGTGGGAGCTCTCGAGATGTTACAAACCCTCTTCCAGGAAAGCCTCTTCGAAAGTCTCCGAAAGAAAAAGCTCCGTTCAGCTACAGCGCTAATGTTCATTATGCACTAATCGTGCCATTGAAGATGAGTGTACTACGCTCTGTGGTAGAAGAAGGCAATAAGTTGGGCTTAATACAGGCAATCGGTGAAGAAAAGAAGAGTCTGAGTTGTGTCTTTAATTGAATATTAAGGTCACTGCCAGACCTGAAAATGCCACATATATGGCAGAAGACTGGTTCACGTTACGAGCAGTCAGTATAAACTTATCATGAAATTTCAAAATTATGTTGAAAATCCTGTGTCGATATAAGGCATTATCACAGTTGACTCTTAGGCCACCCTATCTATTTAATAAAATTTAAGATTGTAATATACATTTGTCCAAAATTTTGGTTCCGTACTCTTTAGGCTGCTTTTGATTCAATTTGATATAAAATTTCGCTCTGCTATCTGATACTTTCTGCCTACTCGTCTTATTTTGCATCCAATAGAAGATTGTAACTGATAATGAGTAATTGTATTGCACCGGCGAAGAATTATTTTTTTATTAAAATTAGTTTGCAAACTTTTCGTTTGATTAACCGCATGCTAGTTGCTTGGCTAGCGGCAGCAAATCTATTTTGAAGGACAATGTAGCCTTGACACTAGTTAAGTGTCAAAGCGGCACGCCAAGTTGGCTGAGAGACTAAGAGGATGATCGAAAAATGAATTTATTTTCAAAAAGTTTGGATTCATCAGTCAAATTTCTGGAACATTAAGCATAATTGAAGTATTATTTGTGTGCTTGTGTAGTATGACGAAATTCCCTGGAAAATGAAAGTCGACGCCTGGAAGTTGTAATGCTCTGAAGAAATTAATAAACAGCTTACCAAGTCGGTTGTAAGACAACAATGGTTTAGTGCAGATCCACAACGCAACACATGGCCTCCTCTCCTTTTGAGCGTTGCTCACCGCGCTCTTCTTCAGCCTCCCGCTTCAGTTCACTAACAACTCTCGGTGGCGCAAAAAGTTTTGCGAACTAATGGCATCAGCTTTCAGATTCGCGTTACTGGGACCATGTCTGGCTCAATTACTTTTGGCCTCTGCTGCCCTTCTTAGTAACCTGAAGTCTTCCCATATTTGTGACTTATGTTTGATTAGGGTTTACTGTAACCAACTTTATGATATCCTATCCCTGTTCTCCTTTGCTCTTATCTTCAAGCTACATTGAAATGTAGGGAAGGGATAATAGGGGAGCTAGAGGCAGCTGATGAGAAAAAGTGCAGTAGTAACGCTGTTATTTGTTTACTGTGTTAGAATAAAGAATGATTTGGCGAGGAGGCACGTCGGTTTTGCTAGATAGAGGCTTTCATGACTAGCTACCAACACCAGAAGGTTAGGTGATAAGAAGCAATACGGACTAGGGTGGAGCTAATCTAGGTGACTAGCTTCGGGCTGGCGGCTGCTCTAGCCGCTCAGTTTTGAGGATTGAACATTTCGTAATCACTTAGCAAACAAAGTGGTCTTCCATTATGAGGCGCATTGTCACCCTTTCCCGTGCACATGTTTGTGAGGTTTTGGAATCCGGAATTTGATCGCACAGTTTGTTTGAACTGACCTTTTATGATTTGTCAAGGGATAAAATTGATTGTGATGATTTCGACCCAGCTAGTTGAAGTGACATTCTGAACTTGTTGTTGATGTTGCTATTCTTCCCTATGACACTAGCTGTTAGTTTGTGCACTATCTGAATGCTTCTTTCTACATCAATGCGCTGAGATGACCGTTAAAGTTGATGTGAGTCACGTTCCTCTGCTTTGCATGTTTTGCTTTGACACCAATGCTTTTATGCATCACCCAGAGGATGCGCCACTCCCTAAAGGTTATTGTTTCTCGATTTTGGTGGTGATTCACAAACATGTAGATGTCTCCCGTTTAGAACACTCTCTCATTCTTGATAGGAATGGCGGCTTGCTTTCCGCTGGCAGATGTGGTGATTAGATCTTAATGTTTGTCGTATTTCACGACTGCATCACTTGGCGTTTATGGAACTTGTCCACATTTGCTAAGAGGTGAGGAAGCAAATCGCCTAATAAGGTTGTCAGTCGACATGCTCTTCCTGCCCTCTACGGACCACCACAGTAGTGAATTCAGTTGGAGAACGTAGTATTGCCTCATTTCCCGCTGTACACCTCCTTCAAAGGCATATGTTGTTTCGCATTTATGAATAAACTGGATGGTTTGTGGACAAGATTGTCTACCTGTTGAAGAACGGAGAGAGGTGGGAGCTATGTCTTGGACGTTGTCCACGGCGAAGGCGTCAGTTGTGGCGGACCTAATGTCGAAATCCGCATGTGTCAATCGACTTACCCTCTGCTAGCATCTCCTTCGGTCAGCATCAGTGCCAGGCATTCATAGACAAGATAACGAAGACGGTAGGGAACTAACTGTCCGTGTTAGCCTCCACCTAAATGCACTCGCAAAGATCGTCCTAACCTACTTCTCCACCTTGTCATGCGATACCATCCTACCAGTGAACTTTCATTATGCATAGTAAAAAACACGCACGAAATCCCATGATGGAACGCGGTTGTTGTATCTTTTAAATCCTATTTTTGACTGGTTATTGAAGCAGTCGTGAGGTTTTAGTAACCACAAAAATTATTATGTTCGTACATTTGGGCCGTCGAATCATGCCTCGGTGTTGGTTTACACTCCGCAGTAGTAAATAATAAATGCACACTTAAACCAGCTGGACATTCGTTTTGGTGGAGATAAAAATTTATAAACCAGATATGAGCATTTTGACCCTAAAATTAGCTTGCAAAAGGGCCTACAAATTGCCACGGTTCGCAAGGAATCGAAGATCTTTTTCGTTGATTTTTCATTTCATTTTTCACGCTTCGATAGGCAATTTGGATCACGCCAGTACCTGTCAGCCCTTTTCTGTCTCGAATGCACCTCCTGTCCTAGTGTTGTGGTCTCTTTGACGTTGCTAATGTCTTGGAGAACTACATCCATGGAAAGTAACTAAATTTTAAGCGAAAACTGCTCTCATTCCTGTTGCTTAATTCTAAGCTTTCACGTGAGGGCTGAAGAAAGTACGCGACAAAGGAGGGAGGCCGTGACGACCACATACATCGACAGCCGGCAGCTACACAACTTATTGGTCTTTGAAGGGTCGCTGATAATGACTGCAGCTAAGCTAAAGTTTTCAGATAGTTTACAGAGCTGTTTACATTACTGGCGAGATGTCAACAAAATGAGCATGGATAAAACTTAAGTAGATGTAAATGGGTAGCGCTGAAGAGCGTTCAATACGGTAAGGAAGAACAGCGGCAAAAATTCTCCTCAGAAGTCTACTAGCTCCACTCTTAACTACATGACTGTGCCGTGGACCGAACTCCCTGCTATTTGAGCTGGACACACGGGCTAGCCAGCTCATTTCGTCTGCTCCCAAAACAGGTCTCTAGCAGAATGACAGTCCAGGTCCAAAGGATTGCTAAGTGGAATCTTTGTGGTGGTGAACAGGTACTCATAAACATCTACACAATTATGATGATTGGCAAAGAATCAGTTTTTTCCTACGGAGTGACTTCGAATGTCGGTTAGGCACTTCCCTTTGGATTTTGTGGGCACTGAGGGACTCGGCGATCGTACTTTTACCGGACGACAAAGTCGTTATGAATTAGTTAAGGACGTCTTCTCGTCATCGTAGGACTTGCGCAAATCGGCTAACTTCCAGTTATAAAGTAGGTTCTAGTATGAAAGAAGGTCCATATTGCTGCCGAAGTTAGGATGCATTTCAAGCGTCAGAAATGCAGCACCGTTTAAACACGCAGTGCACTTGGAGGCAGTCAACCTAAATGACTTTGCTTAAAGTTAGTGCTAACCCTGAGATTGCTGTTTAGAAGTCCACGACTCCATCAAAGACGGAAGGAGACATAACACTCGAAGCGTTAACTTACATCCGCCTTGACAAGAGATACGCACACAATGAAGGTGTTATGCTTGCATTCACTTTTTAAGATCCCTTTTTAGTCCAGCATTCCAACGAACTCCCCAAAGCACCTACTTTTTCGACCATCGGCGAAGAGGCGCCAACTTGAACTTGGAAGCGTCCATTTAACTCCATCCAAGTACTGAATTGCAAGGGATCCTCTAAAATTTCAAAAAAATCTTAGCAATTTGTAAAGACCTGTTTTAGAGTGTAAACTATTCAATTTATCGGTAGTCCCAAATTCGCAACATCCGAATGAGATGTCTGGTGTAAGAGAATTTGGCGTGGATAATTGGGAAAACTATCAAAGCAAGTTATTTCTTTCGGTACACCGGTCTCCAGCATAGAATCATTTTAGGTGTGCTTAAATTTTGTCGGGGAAATGTCAGACAAAACTACTGGGGCCAACTTCGACAATCGACTTTGTCCCTCCTCATTTTGCAAAGAACTAAAAGGTTCCAAATCCAGCCCTCCTAAAATATGTGAACAAGAGATGAAGAGTTAGTTGTAGTGGGACTTTACTTATTATTAAGATTTGAATGTTTCAAAAGAATTAAGACAATTTTATATTTCTGTCCCTCCTCTTGACAGGCGAGAAATGTATGAAACAAATTTACTGAAGTTAAACTTTGCAATTGGTGCTCTCCTCGCCGTTGCAATTGTCAATAGGCTACCAGTTGTTAGAGGCGGCAGAATAGTAGCAAATATAAAGGCAGGTGTACCCGGTCGCGCGCTCAGACCGATCTGATTCGTCGGTCGGGTCAGGTCGCATGTCGTACGCGCTGGCACCTGCGCACGTGCACGCACCTGCCAGCCCACTGGCGGGCTGGTGGGAGCGCAAAGGCACCACCGTGGCGGCAGCAGCAGCGGCGTTAACAAAAGCAGCAGCAGTCACAGTTGAGACAAAGTTCAGAGGGCTCTCTTCTGCTAACCGACAGGCGTGAGGGAGGTGTAATGGCAGTGTGACGGCATTCTTCACAGCACTGCATCGCATTGAATCACATTGTTTAGTGCTCACTGTCTCGCTGAAGGGAAATGCAACTTACCAAAAGCATGGTTAATCGTAAGTAAAACCTGTGCCAGCTTGCCTCGCTTATTTTATTCAATGAAGCCTTTGTATAATCTCCCTGTTTATTTGAATCCGATCAACCAGCGCCCTTGCCGTAGCATTGAATTCAGGAGATGTGTGTCTACATATCTTTGCTTTTTGAGTTGATTTTTGTACTAAGGTCAAGTGACCTCTGCAAGTTGGCGATGAATGCTTCTATCAATGTCACTCTATCACTGGATCTATGAAGCGCCTTTCTAACAACTCAAAAGGAAATCAAATTTGTCCACCTGAAACATGTTAGGCAAAAGGCTATAATTTTAGCAATCCTTACCTCCTTTCATTCTGATGTCTTTTTATAGATAATCATACCTCTAGAAAGTCGATTTATCTCTCCCAGCCATCCGTAAGTTCATTTTTAATTTTTGTTAATTCATTTGAACCAAAGAAAAGAAATTGGAGCAGTCTACAGCAGGGGGATGGAAGTTTCGCCATGTAGGCATGTCGTTTCGCTATGGTTGTGGGGTGAAAACGAGATTTGGAATTCATAGCCTGTGTTAGCGTTCATGCGGACCCTCAGCCGACTCCACATTCAGGCGTCACGAGGGATCAAGGCGGGAATAATTCTCTGGGTCGTTTTCCTCTCTCACCTTCCAACCCTAGAGGCCGTTGAAAAGGCAAATTCGCGAGACGAGACATAGCAGGTTCACTTGAAGAAGTGCAGATGCCAATTGACCAACCTCTTGCAGTGAAAGACTTCATGGTCCATGTGACTGCAGGACCTGTGGCTTTCCTATGTGAATGTGTGTAAATTTTTCTTTGGGTCCTTTCTACAACCTGTTAAAGTTAAAATTGGCTAAATTTTGAAATGACTGATCGTAGAACGTTAGTTCGATCCACCTGAAGGTTTGCACTGCAAATTGTCGGCAATGAAGGCACACAGATTAGACCTAGTAGCATCTGAGCAGCAACATGCACCTACGAAACTCATCACAGGAGGCATTTTTTCTCATTCTAATGTTTTTGATTGGTTTTTTTGTGTCCCGCCTCAGCTGTACCAAATTCCCATTGGTTTGGTGAACTCCTCTACCAGCCGTTCGCGCAGTCAAGGTGAACGCATCTACAGTAAGTGCCGGAGGCTGTATCACCTCCTTTTCTTGTCTGTTTGAGGAGACTGTCCCTTAGCCCATCGCCATGTTTTCAAAAGCATCTGCGATAACGCTAGTTTCTTCTAAACACCAAGCTTATATCAGCAAGAATCGCCCTTCCACTCCTCTTGTGGGGCAGGCAAATAGGGCAAGGTGGGGTCGAGTGGCTTCGATGGTGCATTTTTAGACTAGTCCATGTACCCATCACTCCCTAAATCGCTTAAGACGTCCTTTAAAGAAGAAGAAGAAGTACACGGAAACCATTCGTGAGCACAAGCTAAAAAAGCCAAAATAGATCGCTGAGTTGAAATATTAGTGTGGCCTTGGAGCATTAAAGCGGCAATTATGTTGAATGTATGCCTCATAAAACAACTCATTAAATTTAACACTCCCGTTCCTACATTGTAGACAACTGTCCCAATGGACGGTACAGGACTGAAATAACTCAGATCTGTGGCACAAAATACATTAAAAGGTGAGTCATTTTCAAAACCTTACCTTTGTAAGCCAGAACGAGGTGGTGGAGGAGTTGGGGGAGGTAAAAAAGAGAAGGAGGATGAGGAGAGCTTCCCTCTCTTTAATTAAAATTAAACTTCTGCTGTCATCAGGCTCGACCTTATTCTGCCATATTAAAAACTCCCTTGAAGCATGATGTGAGAGTTATGTTGAAAAGGTCGACGGAACACAGTATCTCAGTTAGGAAGCAAGTCGACTTGTTCTGAGGACCTATGCTATACCGTGATGTTGATTTGCAGTGCAAATCTTTAATTGTTGGCTTCTCCAACGCCACCTGGCTACTAGGCCGTGGGATGCGGATGTCCGTGCGGCTGTAAATCGGTCGCGTAAATCTCTAGGCTTGTTTTATCAACAAACATCTTTTTCTTCCATTTTTAGGTATCTCCCGCATGGGGAATATGGCGCACGATGGGGTAAGTCAAAGCACCAAAGTGGAGCCTATCATAAAGGTGGAATGAATCATCCTCCGATTGTGCACAATCCGCGCTTCTCATTCACCCCATCATAATGCTGTCTAATGCACATCCAAGAACATTTTTCAATAGGTTTTCATGTGAATCCTTGCGTTGGAAAGTCAGATCTGTGCAGCGAGGCACTGATGTTTTATTTTTGGGGCAAATGACTACTTGTACTTCAACTTCTCTACCCTAATTTTCCTGCCTCATTTCACGCATACATTTGTCTGTCACTAACACACTTTCGATAGCATTTTACTTCAAAAATACACCAAAAAGAAAACCTAAGCTGCGGTAGACGACCATCCGCTGTGATGGAACTTGACAGATGAGGACGTGCTTAAGTGCAATGGAATCGAAGTCGTAAACAGGCGAAGGAGACCTCAGCCATCACCTGATCGACAGAAGGTTCAGTGAACTCTAAAATGATTAAAATAAATCTTATCAGGGCATCGCATGCATTCGGTGGTTTGAAAACATGGTTAACCGTGGAATTGCGTGTTTACCTTCAAGTCACTCTGGTCCGGACGAAAGGGAAGGAGAGCGTCAAAATAATATACACAGAGTTGAAAACCGAGAGGACGGAGAGGAAGATTGTCCACGAAGATAGTGTGATGCACATTTTAGAACAGCTTACAGGCGAAACAAGGAGTAATCATCCGTTTGGCTCGCCACGTGACCGCAATCGGTAAAAAAACTTTGGTAGCGGAATCCTTCTCTGCGTAGGCTAGATCGAATGCTATTCCTGGAAGAGCTTGTACAATGTTTAAAGTACTTTTAAGTGTTCCCATATATATTGTCCAGAATGTTTATTTTATGTTTCTAACAGTTTGTTCTTGTGTCGAAATCCCCTCGACGGCAGGGACAAAAGTGCGCCCTTCCGAGGCGATCTTATCAGTTGAAGGGGCAGGCACGGCTTCGTGTGTTCGAGCGAACTTGGAACATCGGTAGTCAGAGTGTCACCAGGTCAAATTCCAAATTTACAGCCCTCTTAAAAACGTGGCTGTCTCTCACAATAACCAAGAGATAATCTTGTTTTAATGAGCTCAAATTGCTAACTTAAAAAGTGGATAGTCGCATTCAGTAAACAGAAATGACGACCCGCTTTGAGGAGGAGGTCTTCTAACTTCCTAGCAGCAAAGTCTGGAGGTTTTTTCTTAAAATGATCTTGCCTTAAAATCTTTTCATACATCTGTTAATGATCATTCATTGAGTATGAACACGGATAACGGAGAATTGGAGAAGTACACACATCTTTAATTGTTCTCTGAAACGAGTCAGTTAATCTGCTGTAGACTCGACCCTGCGACTGGCACCGAGCATGGGCACCTTGGCCTCGCAGCACTGGGGCACCCTCAACTCGCAGACCTCATCACACGGAAGTGTTCGCCTTTTTACTCAGTGGCAAGGTGAAGGAGCCAACATGACACATCAGATCCTCGAAAATGCCGTCCAACGTACCTTCGATGGATGGTTCAGACCCAACTTTTTGAGAGATGCCAGTAGGTTAAATGAACACACCTACATTCGTTGTTGAGTGCAGAGCTTTTTGATAAGAGGATAAACTTAACGAATGCACAACTCATCAAGCATGCGTTTTACCACCTGTATACTTTCTAGGCATACAGTATCTCAAGAAGCAACCTATTGGCGGTTTTGTCATTCGTTCAAGCTCCCGATACCCTGGTTTCTATGGTCTAAGCATCAAAGTTAAGGGAGATGAAAACATCAGCAGCTATACCGGTGAGTTCACTCATTTCTGCTGCACAAGGGCTGCCCGTTCAAAGGCGAAGCTCCGTTTCCTTTGACTGTTCTTTCATGAGGTTGTGGTTTGACCTTATACGCTACCTATTTTTAAATTTGTCCACTTCCTCAGTTCCCGATAATTATTAAAAAAGGTCTCACCACTCGAAGCGCTTATGGAGCCGCTAAAGAGCTTTCGTATAGTGAGGTTGAGATTTTATAATGATGACGAGAGTGCTTCTTGAGATGCCAAGCTGTGGCTCGATAAGTCGAACTACATTGGTGAGGCCACTGGGAGGGGAGAGACCTGACCCACTTCTGTGGGCTTCTTCATCAATCCCACAGGATGCTTTGGCCGCTAGAGGCGGAATGAATACGCTCAGCACGCATTACAGCACCAAAATACTACCAAGGCAAGTAGTATTTGGTGAGCTACGAAGTGAAGATTCACAATGTGTCTTGGAGTAAAAGAGAAACTTTGATTACCTAACTGGAATTCTATAAGCGTTTTATTCTCAAATAAAAGTTTACTAAGTGTGACAACTTTGGCGCTAATTGCTCCAGCTCGGCGGTTGTTGGTCGCACTACTGCCTTGAAAAGGTCTAATTAGTTGCCAAAATGAATGTCCTAGTCCAGAACTTAAAAAGTGCACTTGCAGTGATGATGGTTGAATCGCACAGTCCTACCAAACTGTCATGCTGCTTTAAGGAAGCTTGATAGAGTTACTAATGGCCTAATCCTGAACTGATGTTACGAATGTAGTTAATATTGGAAAGGCACTAGTAGCAGCAAATGGCAGTAGCATGGCCCTGAAATAGTTTCAGATGATACGACTGTCAGACGAGATCACAAATTTTCACAGTGTACCAGTATACCAGCTGGAGGGGGATGTCGGACTCCTGATTTTGCGGAGGTGGTCCTTTTGAAAGCAGAGCAGGAGTAAAGGTCGGGGAAAGACAAGAGACAGCATAATGTCCGTCTGATGCATTTTTAATTATTTAACAACACTATGACTGCATGCTATGACACGCAAACAGCATGGGTCTGACAGCGGTGCTGTTTTGCTGCCGAGGAATCTCAATGCCAATCTCTATCTGTACTCAGGACTGACAGGCAATCAGTCGGTACGACACTTTCTCATAGGAGAAAGCGCAGAGGGCTACTTTCAGATACAGGGCACAGAGATGGAGCCGAGGTTCAAGAGTCTGGTGGATCTTGTCACCTACCATTGTCAATACGCGGGGGCACTGCCCTGTGTCCTCCGTCTACCCGGCTACTCGACCTCCTCCACTCCTAGTTTGGTGAACGCTGACACTCCACTGCCGCCACTCAGGTTTAATGAGAGCGATTCCATAGGTAAGTCTCCGCCTTCCCGGCATCTTAGCCTCCATTTCTTTAGAAATTCACCCTCAACGCAAAATGAGATATACGAGAGGTCATGGGGAAAATTCCAAAAAAAAAATGGAATTCGATTTTCCACCTTCATTATTACAGTTGTAAAGATGGTCGTCATTATAATCGCAGTCAAAGCCTGAGACGGAGTTTGTTTCCAGCACACGATCCTGGTGGAATGAGGAGAGATGGAAGGCTAGGAGCATGGCTGGAAAACCATGTTGATTGATGGTAACAAGAACCACGAGGACTGAAGAGTTTGTGCATCCACATTCACCAAACCATTTGTTTTATCATCTTAATTCACTAAAAATGATTATCAAACGGTGTTAAGATAAGGGTTTGATTCATAAATAAAGGCAATAAAATGTCACATGAATTGGGACAGCGAACAATTGATGACAGAATTAACTTTAGAATTGGCCTTCCGTATTTTTAATGGCGGTTTCATTTTTATATCTGTCCATAAGGTATTTGTGTTTGTAATGAAAGCGGAATTCAATTGAGCCTTAATGAGGCAAAACAAAAGCGGTGATTGGATTACCTTCGATGGTGGTGTGTAGGTCAGGCGTGCGTTGGTCGGTTTGCCGAAGTCATGGCATTGCAGATGAAATGCTTGGGGAACCATCGCGGTCATACTGCTGCGTGCGTCGACAGCGAACCTACCTGAGGGCTGAGGTCAGCCAGGTCTTGAAAACGAGCCTCACCTCTCGATTTCATGATTTCTAATGTGGGCGGATTATCGATGGGGCACTGCATTTCCCTCTTAAGCCCGCCCCTAATTAATTAACATGCTGACATTTATCACTACCATTTGACAGAATGATGTATTCGACAATTTGGAGGACTTTGATTTTCTAAGGAGGTCAAAAAAGGGAATTTTAGTGTCCAGATCAATTCGGTGGATTGAAAATCCTTTTGTGCAATTGGGTGCCTTTCGGGTGTAATGTGCTGCACCTTTGAAGCGTCATTACTGGCAGTTGACTTTCCTCTCAGCTAAAGCGAAGTTCAGAGAAGTCTTGGCGTAGAACCACTCATTTCGAGCGCGTCTGAGGTCGGTCCTATAGCTTATAGCTATGGGAGCGTCCACGCTACAGATAGAGGATACAAATTTGCCACAGTTAGGACTTATGATACAGTACGCTTCGATGGCGGTTGTCGATTTCGTTAGCGTGAAAATATTTTAGCTATTGAACTGACAGTCGAGGTCAGGTGTGCCTGAGGCCATTGACTCGATTATTGGGAGTGCAGATTACAGAGATGAAATTTGGAGGCAGGAGGAAGGGAGATCAAGTACCAATGTCCAGACAACACTGTTCTCTGAAGGTATAAAGGAAGTCAAAATCGAAGCTAACTCGCAAATGCTGTACAAGGAGAACTAAGGATTAGCTCTATACTTTGTTACACTGGCAACATCATTTTATATAAGACTAAAATTAAATTGACAAGGATGTGCAGAAGTTACCGAATCTGAGGAGCAAGATTAGTTGTAAAAGTTAGTCAGCGTAAAAATAACTGCAGAACTCGTAGCAGTCTTATCAGTGAGTCCTCGCTGGAGACGATGAGGTCGGTGTAGCATGCTGCCTCTTCCACTCTTGGAGAGCTCTCTTTGGCTGTAAGAAAAATTACCTCCAAACCAGTTGCAGTAGGTATTGAATCTGCGTGGCAACGTCGACAGTTTCTGTTGATAATTTTACTGGTTCTATATCAGTGCTCTGTTTGACATCTATGTTTGAGGGCTGGACGTGATCATAGCAATGGAGGAAGGGATGTAAGAGTGCCGAGGAGATAAGTTTCCATACCTATTCTTCCATTTCGTTTTGCCGACACTTGAGTTAAGTGATAGTAGACAACTCCGACCCATGGTACTTGCAGCTCTGGCTGTTGGCACAGCTTCTGCAAAACACTGGACTAACATGGTAATCAAGGGTTGAACCTGTGCTTAAGATCGACTTAAATCGTCCCATCCGTAGTATCTGTCCAGTATTTGAGAAGTGAGTTAACAGGAATGGAAATTGAGGTAGCTGTTTCTTTCGACTGAAAACTCTCTTCTCACTGCTATTATTGCACCCTTTCGCGACTTTGCTGAAGTCAGAGGGCGACTTTAACAAGGCTTGTTGACGAGGAGCAGAACTGCTGGCTGCGGGCATAGCGAGGAAATCATATTATCAAGCAGGGGCGAAGTCTGGAGTGCTGGGGTGCCCAAAAGATGAGTTGAACAACTGTCAAAAGTAATTTTGTATGCTAATTGATATTTACAAGCAATAACGCCTACAGAATTGTAAATGTGCTCAAATTTTCCACTGAAAAGAGGACGTTGAATGACTGAGTATCGTCTTGAAAAGACGAGTCATTTCACATCTTCGAGAACGAAGGTGACAGTTGTCTTTATCCTCCGCCTTTTTGTTCTTTTGGAAGTTCAAAGTTTGTCACCAAAAGGCAGTCATGAGGAGTACTTTTAAAGCCAAAGCTTTGCTGGTAGAATTTCAGGTCTTATACTTGGGTGCTTTTGACGTCTATTCCCTGAATGGCAGCAGCGCTGTCAGCTCAGCTATGGATGCAATCTTTCGAACGCAGAGTTCGCATCTCCGTCCCATTGTTGTCAGCTTCCGTGTCAGCCCTGAGGGCGTGACCTTGACAGACCTTCACTGTCGACAGTTCCTTCGTCGGCATTTTGGTGCTGAATCCTTCCTCTACATTGGCGCTGATCTCTACGGCAGAACGTAAGTCGAGGACTTTAGCGCCTGCGGTTGTTTACAATTTGCTAGGACTAGTGCTCCTGCATGATGGGCGATTGGGGAAACACAGACCGTCGAATTAAGACTGCTATGCGAAGTTGCAAATATTGTGAAGCAGAGGTCTGTTTCAATAAATCTTTTTCTTTCAACTTCAAGGTTGATGGAGATCGATCCTGGAAACACGAATTTCAACAACGGACGAAAGTAGGTTATCGTTTTATTCTCTGTTATTACCATAAGTCTACCGCTGCTACCAAACGATTTGACGAGTGAGAGACTAGCTTGGGCCAAACATTCCTTACACTAAGAATTTTTCGCCCGTCCTTTTGCCTCGAACAAATTAAGGTAGAATGAAGGCCTCTACAACTATTGAATGCAACTTTTCATGCCCGTATGACAAGCATATGTAAGAAATTTGTTTGCGAGTTTTAATTGTGACGAGCTACCCTTTATATCAGCATTCTGTCAACCGGCCTCATGCTGTTAAGCCAACACCAAAAGGGCTTATAACGCGGTCTTCGTACGTGTTAACGCCGCAGCCTACTGACCTCCAACTGGGTACTGACATTCCTCTCGAGATCCATAAAATCTGCGATAATAAAGCTAGGTAAAAATCAGGTGATAGACTTTCTCTTTAGTCTATTGGAACTGCAATGGGGATTCGAGACGTTTGAAGCAAAAGCCCAAGAGAAACGAATAAGTTCTTGCGAAACTGAAGTTCCTGCGGCCACATTTGTCGACTCGCTGGGCTACGCACAACGAAGGCCCTGGTGTTGGCTGATGGAGGATTGCGTGGGAACAGTACAAACCCACCGAAGTCATGCGGTTCAATGTTAATCCGCCACAAAAATAACTGAGATGTTTAACTGTGTTGGCGAAGAAATGGGGAAAAGATGCATTTTGGACATCGTGTACGACTGATTACACAGAGGTGTCTATTTTTGGCGTCGGTCAGGATCGCAGAGGCAGAATTAGGAAAGGCGATCAAATCAAATATCTGCGTCATCACAAACGAATCTTTGTTAAGCAAATTTTGCAAACAAAATCTCATCTTCGCATTTTTCCAAAAAGGTGTACTTCATTCTTTTAGGATTTTTGGATTCGTGGTTCGCGCCTCTGACATTACCGAAATGAACAGTTGTCATCTCTTTGCTCAGCAGTTCAGCACTCAGCCATGCGAATTCATTGTAGAGACGGTTAAGAGGGTGTTGAGTCGAGAAAGGGTGTCAGGATTTTGAAAATGCACAACAAGTGGATAAGAAATTTGCTTCAACTCTGCCATCGTTCAGCCTCCTTCTTCCTTGGCCCATATTTTCTTCACTCTGGGCTCGCATTTTAAGGGACAGGAAATCGCTTTCCCCAACCCCGTTTCTGAGATTATCTCCATTAATACACTTGCGAAAAATCTTCAAATTGCCGGTTCCCGTATTTATTACCCACCTCTGAACTCGAGTCGCCCTTTGATGAAGTACTTTTGAAGAAGCTGGCAACAACATTTGATTAATTTTTTGGTCCAACCCAACAGCACATTAAAGAACCCTAACGGAGTATCAACTAACTCTTCTTTATAGTGACTTTTGTTTCTATAAAGTGAATAGATGCATTAAAAAAAGGAGGTGGATATTAGATGATTCGTTGAAAACAGCGAAGGTGGATTGCACCACAATTTCGTTCAGTCAGTGGTTAATCCCGCGTGAGGTCGGTGGGGAGGACTAAACCTTTCGACAAAATTGTTGCAATATCCGGTAAATATAAAGTAATAAGAATTTTTACCTTGCCTCCGTCATTTAAACACATGAAACAGCCTACATAAGCAAAAAAACGACACCAATGCATGTGCTAATATGTGTAACTATCGCTGTTGTACGGCTATTTAGAGAAGAGCGTATTCAAAAAATTAAGCCTTTGATCGAGCACTTTCTGGTTTGTCTTTTTTGGAGTTAAAAGAGGACAACCGATATTCATTAATGTAAGCTGTGTGTTGTTTTAGGTGGTAAAGCCAATTCCAGTCTTGTGCATGACCAGGGCTTCCATTTACCCCAAGCGGGCAAAAAAGCACCTATTAACCGGAGACATTATCTTATCATAGAACAACTGAGGTGATCGTTCAAAAGGTACCGTGGGAATTAGGAGGTCAGCAGGGATTTATGAAAAGCATACCCACTAAAACCAGGTATCTATAATACTGTTTCATAAAAGTGCCTTTCAAGCAAGGGAAGAGAAGACAGTTGAGGGTAAAATGACAATCCCTCTATAATGCTTACCGGTCGGTTATGTTTTACTGTCTTCATTCCCTACCTGTATGGTTGGCGGTCACATTAGCGGCAATTTCGCTTCTGGCTGGACTTTGGGATTAGCCAAAGCCAGCTCGCACAGCATACGTGTGCTGCCTTAATACATCGAAAGCACTGCCCTATATCCACTGCAGCACAGGACTGTACTTGATCCCGTTTACCCCATTATGAGAATTTTAAATCAGTATCTAATATGCAGCAGAATTTTTCACCTCTGACTCCTGTATCTAAACCGAATGGTATTTTAGTTCCAATCAAAGCTAATAAGAGATTTTTGTGTAACTGTTAATTGACCGGAAGTTGATGACTGGCGTGACTAGTTCGTGAATGTTTTCGCAAAGAACTGGATACATTTGGATGGATGGCACGGGAGATGTACCAATCAAAGAGGCAGACGAATCGTTTAAAAGAAAGAGGACCAATGTAATGCATTTACTCGACTACCTAAGTGAATGGTAATCACTTTTGTGATTCAACTGCTGCTGCCAGGTCGGCTGCCCTTAAAGCCAAGCTGAAGCCTCACTTGAAGATTTCCTCCATTAATATAAACATTCAACCCTTTTATCCTGTCTTCGATCGTCTAGTGGAAAGCCTCGCAGCGCTTTTATCACATCTCCAATATATGGTTTACCAAAGAAAGAGAAGGAGAATGAATGAATTTGTCTGGCCCCTGTGCACGTGGGCTGGCCCTCGGGCCAAGCTCAGCCCCTATTCCCCCTGTCATCTCTAGAATACATGTAATCAACCTCACTTATGCCTTCTTTCACCCTATGGGAAGCCTCGGGACGCTACATTATTCTCCTAGAATGCATGTGTAATATTTACAAACATGATTAATTTTGCGTTTATGGAGGAGAGGCAGGAAGTCAATTAGAACAGAGAATAAGTGCGTGAAGGGCGTGAGGGCTCATTCTTTATGTGATATTTTCTTTTCGGCTCGTCTATGCTCCCCATTCTCGTTTTTTTCTTTATACAATGCCAAATAAAGTTGTCGCAACTAACCCTCTCTTGATGTCTGAGGTTCAAGGGCATGAAGGTAGGCAGGAAGGTTCTACCGCATGTATTTAAAACAACCGGATCCTTTCCTTTATATAGTGGGAAGCTTTAAGGTACTACGCTGATTTTCCTTGATTGGTACTTTTAATCTTTAAATAGTGAATGAAGGATAGCAGGTAAGTTATGAGGAAGTTATGCCGATAAAGAATTATGTTGAATATATTTGATAGAATTAAAACAATATACTACACTTGGTTGACCGTAGATAGATACACTAATTTAATCACCACAAGTCTTTATATTTTACTCGGCGCATTTTGATTTAAGTGTTTCAACTTATCTACGACACGCGCTGCATTCCGTGTTTTGGCTTCGGTTCTGATTGGTTTGCTTTCACACGCCGTTGCTGCTTAAGCCCACCAAGGTGCAGCTTTTGAGATTCGTTAAAATTTAACTATGTTTTATCTCAATGTCTATGATGCTTATGATGCTTTTCGATTGTGAGTTTCACGGATCGATTTTGAAGTCGCCATCCTGCGCTTGCATTTTGGAATATGACATAGAAAGTTAGAATTTGTAGATTATGAAGTTTCTCCTTGCACTTTCAACATTTCCAATACAGTTTGGCTATAAACGATCCTAAGATCGTAATTTGCTTATTTTTTTAGCAATATGCGACTTTTCACTCACAACATACTCACATCCCGCGTCCTGAAATCCGTTAAAGTTGGTTATCCTCTTGCTATAAAGGTTGGTGGCATTTATTCAGTTGCATTTCCTTAAAGGCCACGAAGGTAGACATAACTCCAATGGACTTTGAGGCTAAAACTACTGCTCGTTTTATTCCCAAAGTCGAGTGGACGGTTCTAAAGTCCGCAGCTGAGCAGGTGCGTCATGGATGGTAATAATTCGTACCTGAGTAGACTATCTCGTACTCTCAATGACACCATGGTTGGCATAGTTTTATTTAATTAATCAATGCTTATTCCTTCTACTCTTGCCAACTGCTATTCTATAGGTTGGGGCAGATCATGTGGGACAGCTCCCAGATTGTATACCTGATGGCTACGAAACTAATGAGGAATTTCTGCGTCAAGCTCACAAGGCTCTAATGGAGATAGATGTGGTTGAGGGAACTCTAGTCTGTCCTGAGACGGGTCGTGAATTTCCTATCCACAATGGCATCCCGAACATGCTTGTCAATGAGGATGAGTGACGTCCTCATTGGAATTTCTTGCATTAAAGTCGAATTTGTAAATATTGACTACTTTTCCCCACTGTTAAGCTTTGAGAAGCATATACAGAAGTACCCCCATGCGTTCCTTCCGTACTTCATGAAAGTAACAGTTTTTGACTTTGCTTATCGCTAAATTCTCAGAGACTTAGCAACCTTTTTTGTGGTCTAGATGTTTATGAAAACTCATACTATTAGCGCATCGCGTGTGTGGTGGTTCGAAATGCCAAACTTCGTATTCCTAGAGTAGTAGCTTTAAGGTCAGGCTGTCCTTTACTTGGTAGGCGAAGCGAGTTGTCCTTGTCAGGAGTTCGACATCATACTCCCTTTGAACAAGAGTGGGCTGTGGGTAAGAAAAGCCACTTGAATTCCTCGGTAGTTTTCCTCCTTGCGGTTCGATACTTACACAAATCCAGGAGCAGTGCTTTTGCTTTACATTTTTGCACAGGCAAAATCGTACTATCAGCACTGAGGCCTTGCTACCTAGACCACAAAGGCAGGCTTGCACTGTAAAAATCATAGTCACATAATTGTGATACTGCCTGGTGTTAGGCCCACCCACATAGGTTTGTGGACAAAGAAGTCGGAAAATAGTAATTTTATGTACACAACAAACCTGAACTGTGAGAAATGCTTCATCGGAGCAGTCTAGTTTACTAGGTGAGAGAGGGAGGTGGGAGGTAGTTATTAAAAGCCCATAGCGTAGTCGGGTGGGAAGCGGGGGTCGGTAGTGCTACATGTGTATCAAAATATGAGGGAAAGGGAAGAATAGACTCGACTGGTGGTAGAGGGTTATTTAAAAGTGTTTAGTCGACACAGACGACAGTAGCATAGGGTAAAGCAAACAATTGCGATGCTAGTCAGGCCTACCACATTCGACCACATGTCCCAGGCCGTGCGACTAGCATACCCCAGGTCGTCCAGGTACAACCGCCCAGGTTGACTACAAACAATCATAGCCCTTTATTATTTTAAATTCTCACAAGCCATAATCTGCGGCTAAGCAAAAAAGGTGGATGTCTAGATTGATCTTACTATTTTAAGGGATGGTAGATTATGTTCAGTCAGCTCCTCTGCACAGTTCATTGTATTCTTGTGTTGGAATGTGGAAACCAGTATGTGCAACACTTACCATTCTCTGGTGTCGTTGAAATTTTGCCGTGTCCTATTGGAGGAGGGACAGAACTCGAGTTCGGCCAGTTCATTGACAAGAAGGCCCCCAAAAGTGTAGTGGAAAATGGACAGGTATCGCAACCAGCTTAACCATGGGCTCATGCTGTTTAGGTTGATTAGAAAACCTCCAAATACCTGGAAAAGCATGCAATCAACAGACTCTCCTTTGACCTCGAGATTCAAGCTGATAGACAAGTATTGGAACAATAAGCTGATAAGACGTACAGCGAACATTTCAAATATAAATAAGTTGATCATTTATGAGAACTAGCATTTAAGCAAAAGTCAAGGGAGACGACGGAAGAACAGACCATCATGAAGACGAAGAGGATGGAGATGATGACATTGGCGATGGAGAAGAGAGTTACGCTGGCGGAGACAGCCATGGCCGCGGCAGAAGCGGAGACGGTTCCAAGAGTGAGAATGAGCTCAAAGAAGAAAAAATTGCCCACTCTGGGCATCAAGCCCACCATCCAGTAGGTGATGGGCATGAAGAAGAACACGGGTAGCGCCTTCGTTGGGAATACATCGCATATTAGCTTTGCGAGGAAGTACGCAGACACTCTATAGTAGCCGCTTGAGTGCTCATGCCTGTAATCCAACACAAACGCGTTTGCAAGTAATTGTAATGAATAACAAACTTTTCAGTTTCTGCAATGACCCGCTAAGACTAGATAGCTGAGGTAGGTACTAAAATACTTTATGATAAATAAAAAAAGGGTGTCAGTTGCTTCGTTCCCGGAGTGGAATTATTTTTGGCGCTACTGCTTAGTGCTTTTTGATGAGCGTTACCTGTGCCTATTTAGTGGGACAGGCAACAACACCGCATATCACTACTTCTAAGAGCACCAGAGAAGAATGGCAAGCGATGCCACAAAGAGTTTTACGAGGTGCTTGTAATGATAGTCTATGACTGAATATTTGATTCTACTGTTATGATGTGAAGCAGAATGATGGGAGAAAGAATCTTGAAATTCCCAATTTCCAAAGCAGTGTGGGTGTTATTGCTCTTCACGATGCCATATGGCCATAAAAGGAAATATCCTAAACCTGCATAACAGTAGTAAGACGTAATCATCAATTCCATTGCACGGTATTTTTACAGAGCTCAAAACATAATAACACATCCGTTATGCAGACGATAACGCCAGTGACATTGAGTCATGTGACTGATATTTTTGTCTTAAAAATTTTGTTTACGTGGGTGTTGAAAGCAGTTTTACGGCTAAAAATGAGGCCTCGTCCCTTTTTGACTCGCACAAATACTGACTGACTGCCAGACAGAATGAAGCGTCCTCCACGTACAAAAATATGGCTCTCTCTTTGAGGAAGAGTTCAATGGAGCCAATGTTAACGAAGACCACTTGCAGTGTGGCGAAGAAGAAAAGACCTGAGCGATTCTGAATACCGGATTCGAGGGATGTGTCTAGCCCGAAGTAGACCACACCCATGGAGACGGCAAAGAAGAGGTAGACAAGGGTCTGTACGATGGAGGCTTGGGGGTCGCGCATCAGACTGATGAAGGTGCGCCAACAAACAATTAGCATTTGCAAGGGAAAGGAGGCCGCATAGCCCATGCGCTCAGGGGCCTTTGAGTAGTTTGTTTCACTGGTAGAGTGGTTCCGTACGGCCATAACCTCGTTCCGTGCGCTACAAAGAAGAAAACAATTTGCTTGGAGTGAGGTGCAAGGTTACCTTAATAGCCTAAACAGATAACTGCTAAAAACACAAACACAGTAGCAGACCCAAAATTCAGATTGCAGAGGAAAGGAGATGAAAATAGCAGCTCCTAGATAAAAAAGGGACAATGAAAATATGACAATTAGAAACGGAGAAATTAGTAACTAAACCCCATAGATAGTCACGGGATACTAAGAGTAAAAATTTTTCAACTACCTGACATCACAGGAGTGCATTCCAGAGTTTAGGAGCATTAACCACGGACCTTGTCTCCTAAATTGAAACTTGTACCCAAAAACCGACGCACAGCCCCAACTCCGTCCTTCTTTATAGCCAAGTTTGCTCTATCAAAGGCACTTTATGCATGGGCACGTTCTAGGAACATCTAAGGTCTCTGAAGGATGCAGAGGGTGTGTGTAGTTGAACTAGGATGCCACAAAATTGGTGATTGTGCATTTTACGAAGGGAAATCCGAATGCCCATAACATACTTTCGACACTCGGGAGACTCCGCCCATGTATTGACAAGCCGTTCAGACACAACTCGCATCCGTTCATGAGAGTCGTCACTTTGGGCGTCGTACTCATCCCCCTCTGAAATGAACGCACAGTCAAGCATGGAGGATCATGAGTCAAGGAGGGATGGAAAAGAGGGTGCAAGAAACGCAAAGATTTGCCGAGTGAAAGGGTAAGGACAGGGGAAAAAGGGTTTGTTGAGCGCATTTGCATAACTTGAGGTAACATTTCAAAGCCTTCAAACTACAGATACATCGCTATTGCCATTTATCCTTACAAAGCAGAGGATAAAATCAAAGTATACAGACGATTGTACAGCTAATAAACACTCGGTGTTTTCTTATCAGATCAAAATACACAACATCACTGCTAGGTAGCTAGAATGAGAGGCATTGTGTTTCATCTGTGATGTGCATGTGGGTGTGATTTAAAAGGAACCGACAGAACACAACCGAGTGACTTAAACACTCCTTAAACCGCTTTCAAATCTGATGCGAGGGGAAATAGAAGAGGAACTTTCTAAAATAAACCCATTGGAAAATGATTGCCAGCCAAGGCAACTTGAGCCCAATTTTAGCGAGTTCAAAATCACACCAAAGGACACAGAATTAGCGGTTATTCTTGCAAATGCATGACGCCTGGTACAGAGAGGTGAGAGCGTGGTGGTGAACACAGTGGTGAGCAAGAAGAGTAATTTCGATTGCATTACCTTGAAGCACCTCTGGATCACAACCTGCACCAAAAAATGATGAAGTCAGGTTCAAAAGTAGCAAAATAAGTCCTCCCCTCATCAACGTCATGCTCCGCAACTTCTATTTGACGAGCAGTCATTAGCGCTACCAAGGTGCCAAGCTCACGTGCTGTGGTCTTCGCCTGACGTTTACCAAGCACCTAGTTTGGTGGGTATTAAGGTTGCATTGACCACATTTTCATACAAAACATGACTTAAATTAAACTCTTAACCAGTTTACCGCATATCAAACCAAATATTAAAGTGAATGAGGAAAGTATTAGAAGCAAGATGGAAGCTCGGATAGGAATGCCGATAATGACCTACTGTCTCCACCGGGATCAAGAGGCTTCACTTCTCCATGTAAAATGTCCAAGAAAAAGTCCGGCGGATTGTTGTGATCTTCGCAGACGTAGCCTTAAAAGCCAGGCAAAGGAAGGCAACCAAATGGTGCAGCACGAAGAAGCATCAAAGTGGAAACGATATGCATCTCACTTAGAGCGTACCCAGCCTCGAAAAGTAATTCATCGGTGCTTTACGGGCCAATCCATGATAGACAATTTGACCATTGGACATGAGAGTGAGAGAATCAAATAGCTTGTAAATGGAGTATTTAGGTTGGTGAATTGAAAGAATAATTGTCCGTCCGCGTCGAGATAGCCTTCAGAGTAGAATAGAGAGCATAGTCAGAGATTCTGTTCCTTCACTCTTTCGCACTTCTCTCTTCCAAACAGGGCGGTAAAGCAAGTCACTACCTAAACAAGACACAACACAGCAGACTCACGATTTCAGAGTTTGAATAACACTGCCGGCAGTAAATGCATCGAGGCCGGTGGTTGGCTCATCCAGGAAAAGGACTGACGGATCTGCGATAATTTCCATTCCAATGCTAGTCCGCTTCCGCTCGCCACCCGATATGCCTCTAATGAGCTCGGTGCCAATCTGAGGGAGGAAAGTACTAATATTACTACCAAACGTCCACCCAAATGCTAGCCATGAGGTAATTCACTATTGTATCCTCTTTCACCCATTAAAGCAATCAGTGTGACGTATTATGGCCTTTTGCTGACAAGACACAAACTCGGAAATTCTTCATTCACGTAAAAAATTTTAGACCTGCCACATGGCCTAACATCTCACTTGCCCTTTTTAAGCTGTCTCCACTATTTTGATAGTAACTGAATATTTCTGATGCCGCTCCGGCCAAGAGAAGCCTGGAGAAAAGTTAAATAAATACGGAAATGTCGAAACAAATCGCCACATCCATCTCGTCCTTAAGGACAAATTTTATTATGGATAGAGGCGCAAGTCACAAACATGCGGATTTCGACATTATATCCGCCACAACTGACGCCTTCGCCGTGGACAACGTCCAAGACATAGCTCCCACCTCTCTCCGTTCTTCAACAGGTAGACAATCTCGTCCACAGTTCACCGAGTCCACAAAACATCCAATTTATTCATAAATGCGAAACGACATATGCCTTTGAAAGAGTTGGACAGTGGGAAATGAGGCACTACTGTGGTGGTCCGTGGAGGACATGAAGAGCATGCCGACATACACGATTGAAATTACTTTTATCACTAGTTATTTTACG